AAGGGATGAGTTGGGGTGAAGCAAGTAACAGCATGTATTGGATCATCGAGTTAGTTTATGCATTTTTTTTACTCAAAATTAGCAAAAACCTGAAAGTTTTGGTAACACATTCTTTATTGTATACATACCCAATATCTGAAAATAGATGTCTATTTCACAAGGTACTGCACTTAACTTCTATAAATATCGGTCATATATAAGAAGTGATTGAGACTGTATTAAAAGGGTCAGAAAAGCCCAACCAGCACCTCAATGTTTATGTGTAAATTTCGGAAGTTGCATTAATAATTTAAAATGGTAGCCGGATATGCTTGTAATTACCAAAAAAAACCCATTTCCCAAAATCGGCTTCACTGTACCGTTATGGTAGGCCTACGCTGTTTGTGCTTCATGTCCCAGAATGAAGCCAATCTGCACGGTAACATAAACTTACTCAACATTTCCTATAAGGCAAATCAGTGATTTTAACCTCATTATCGTATACCCACACTAAATTTACAGTAAGGGCTTATTCTGCAATGCAGGCATGATTTATTTAACAGCATGCCCGAGAATTCCATTAAAACACTTTTTCCTACTTTTCCTTATTTATTTCTTGAGTAATTTTCAAACAAATTCGTATTTTGAGGATAATACCTGAAAAGTGTTCCAAAGGAGTACACTATACGACTTACTGCAATCTAGGTCCTGTTCTGGATTTTTAAGCTTCTCGCATTCGGAAAAAATGACCTGTGTTGAGCTTTTTTATCCTTTAATTCAATTTTAATCTTATTGATAAGTCATACATGCTGTTTTGTAGAGGGAGACTTTTTTCCTTCAAAAATATGTGACGTATTGCCAAAACTTCTAATATAATCTGAGTCTGAGAAAAATAGCACAAACCTAGTCCACCCAATATATCTAGAAAGAAATCATAGAGATAGAAAAAAATATGGATATGAAATAGTTATAATAATTTTGATAAAAACTAAACATTTGTATGGAATTTAGGCCCGTTACGCTCGATGCAAATGCGAATTGGTAGCTTAATTCAGAATGGCATCGTCGAAGGTCAACGATTCGCACTCAGTAGCGATCTGTGGAGGTAAGCCGAGCACGATTTTACTTCGCATGCTTAGACTTAGCTTATTAGAGAAAGTTTTTCTTATGATTTCATAAGAACTACATATGCGCTAATATTAAACCCTACCGACCTCATCATTTCACTCTTTTCTTTCTACATCTCTCTTTCTTAGGACCATCTTTTACGTCGTATGTCATCAACTAAATGTAGTGCATATTGATAAATCTCGTGTCATCATCCGTAATTAATTTAATCCAGATTCAGCTCTGACAGCTTGATAGTAACGCAGCTGTTGAACGAGAGCTGTAGTTTACTACAGGAAACATTCACAAAATGAGAAATTCTGCATTCGATTTAAAATTTTTGAACAAGTTCAATGATACGTTCATATTCACCACTGATAATATTTTCACTCATTTACGTGTCAATCGACAGTACTCTAGTCTTGCGAATTCTTCAAAATTACTTTTTTTTAACGACATCTAACTTTTCAAAATGATTGTAGCTGTTATGATTGATTGAGGTTTTGTTCACAGCGCTCAGTCATCTTTTCCCTAGCAAGCAAACAACTTTTAATAATGGCACCTTCCAACATACTATAATGACTTCACTTGCATTTCAAAAAGGTATTCCTCAATTCGGAGAACGATGAGAACTGAACATTTGCCACTGCAATAGAGTAGTGGTTTTAATACTGCAAATAGGCCAAATTCTCTTTGCGAACAGCGGAAAAGTTGGAGCTGATCTGTCGTGACATCCAACCATTCACGAAAATCTCAGCTCGATCTCTTAGTGGGCTTGCTGTAGATACGCAAAAGCCACTGTGCACTGTGACCTTCTGATCACATTCAAGTCGAATCAAGAAGAGGCGCAAATGCGAGATGTGGTCGCATGGCTGGTTGATCTTGTGAGTCTACACATAATGCAGAAAGACAACTTAAAAAGAAAATGACTTCATTTAGATCAAAACACATGAACCACAGCTGAAAATAGAAGTGCGACATCACAATTTGAAAAACTGCTATGCACTATATTTGACAGCCAACTACAAAAGGTTTGTTACCTTCCACTATCGTTCCCTAATGCAAGCGAACTCTCTTTCCAGCTTATTGAAAGGAGCCGAACTTTGCCATATCAAAAAGAATGTGAAAAGTCATTTTGGGGGAGGACTTCGAGAGTTCTCATTTGAAGAAGCCCAGTGTTTTGCGGGCATCGAAGGACGCAATACTTTTCTAACGGATATGGAACGGTCATTTATTGGTAAGTTCAATTTATTCACCAACAAAATTTTAGGTCAAATCTCACCCTATCTGAACAAAAAGATCTGTTAGATTTTTTTCTCAAAATAAAAAAAA